TCATCGCACCACTCCTTGGTGTGTGGAGTGCCTCAGGGTGCGATTCTCTCCCGATGCTTTTAACATCTTTATGCGCCCTCGCCCAGCTTGTCCGGAGTTTTGGGCTGGGCTGCCATCAGTATGCCGATGACACCCAACTCTATCTGTTGATGGATGGCCATCCTGACTCGGCCCCAGACACACTGACCAGATGTTTGGAAGCTGTGGCTGGATGGTTACGTGGAAGCCGGTTGAAGTTAAATCCTTCGAAGACAGAGGTCCTCTGGCTGGGACGGGACGATATGGGATTGGGGGCAACTCCCATCTCTTGCGGGGTGCAATTAGTGCCAGCACCGTCCGTTAAGAGTTTGGGTGTAATCTTCGATACCTCCTCTCTATGGAGGCGCAGATTACAACTATAACAAAGGCGGCATTTTTTCATCTCCGCCAAGCTAAGCAGTTGGCCCCTTATCTCTCTCGCCCTGACCTAGCCACTGTGATCCACGCGACGGTCACCTCCAGACTGGATTATTGTAACTCGCTCTACGTGGGGCTGCCCTTGAGACTGACCCAGAAACTCCAGCGGGTGCAGAATGCCGCGGCGAGACTCCTTGTGGGGTCTTCGCTGCGAGATCACATTCATCCGGTACTATACCAGCTGCACTGGCTCCCGGTGGAGTACAGGATCAGGTTTAAGGTGCTGGTTTTAACCTTTAAAGCCCTATACGGCCTAGGACCCTCGTACCTACGGGACCGCCTCTCCTGGTATGCCCCACAGAGGAACCTACGGTCTGCAAATAAAAACATCCTGAAGGTCCCAGGCCTCAGAGAGGTTAGGCTGGCCTCAACTAGAGCCAGGGCTTTCTCGGCTGCGGCTCCAATCTGGTGGAACGCTCTGTCACAAGAGACTAGGGCCCTGCGGGACCTGACATCTTTCCGCAAGGCCTGCAAGACAGAGTTGTTCCACCAGGCCTTTGGTCAGGGCCCAGCCTGACTCCCTCCTCTGGCAACCTGCACAGAACTTTGCTTAACGGTTGCCATTAATTTGATTTTAATTAATTTTTATAATGAAATGTTTTAGAATGTTGGATTATTTGATTGTTTGATTATTTGATTGTTGTTAGCCGCCCTGAGCCTGGCTTTGGCTGGGGAGGGCGGGATATAAATAAAATTTATTATTATTATTATTATGTTGGTGCTGACCTTTAAAGCCCTCAACGGCCCCAGTCCAGTATACCTGAAGGAGCGTCTCCACCTCCATCGTTCTGCCCGGACACTGAGGTCCAGCGCCGAGCGCCTTCTGGCGGTTCCCTCGCTGCGAGAAGCCAAGTTACAGGGAACCAACCAGGGGGCCGTTAGGGGCGCCTTGGAAGATGGCCGACAATACCATCTCTCCGGCTCACACGAGGTAATTAAGAGGCTGACGATGGGAGTAAATTAGCCTCCCTGGATCTCCCCAGGGGATGGGGAGACGCTGCCTCGTCCGCAGTTGCCAATAAATCACCCCCGAGTTCAAAAGAAGGAGGGGGTGAGGGCACTGGATGGAAAGCCCTCGAGTGAGATTCTGGATCTCCTGCACACTACTTCTTGTTGACTTTTTGCAGTATGGTAGCGCTGCAGAGAGCTTGCTGGGGAGACCATGCATTAAAAAGGGACTCAAAAATAACTTAAACAAGGTTTTAATAAGAAAAACAAAAACTCCTTTTACACTAAATACATTAACAAACAAACATGACCCAACCACCAACCCAGGGTAATGGGAGAGCTAGGTGCTGCTCCTTATATACTACACCCAATTGCCAACACAGCTTAATCAGTACAACTCGGCAGCACCTGCTATGTTTCACAGCTGTAAAGCTGGGTCTCGTTATTTTGCTCTGGCCCTTTCTCTGGCCCCTTAAAGACATACACATCGAGTGGAACAATGATGAACCTGTACATATTAAACCATTCAACACTTCCCTGCGGTTCATCATTGTGGAACAAAAACATAAAGCATACTTTGTACATGTTTTTCATGTATACCTTTTGGAAGTGCTTTAGTAAAAATGTCTGCAATTTGATTGTCACCTGGAACATATTTAAATACAACCATTTCATCAGCAATTAGTTTCTTTACAAACTGTAAACGTAATCTTAAGACTTTAGTGCGCTGCGTATTGGTTTCTGAACATAGGATAGCGAGTCCACTCTGGGAATCAAGGTAAACTTTTACTGGTAGTGTTACTTGCATCTGTAGGTCTGCGAATACTTGCAGATACCATTCCACATCACGAGTGGCCTGAACGCATGCACATAATTCACTCTCTGTTGTGGAGAGACAAATAATGGTTTGTGTCTGGGACTTCCATTCAAATGGACAACCATTATAACAAAACACCATACCAGACACACCCCTGCAATTATTTTGTTCCACTGCATGAGATGCATCACAGAAAATTTCAAAACCTTTGTCAATACATGTTGTAAACTGCAACCTATAATGTTTGGTATGTTTAAGGTACATTACCACTCTCTTAAGAGCAGAGAAACATTGTGTAGTGGGCTTTTCCACAAATTTTGCCAGAAAGTGAAAGGCATAAGTTATATCTGGTCTTGAGATTCTTTGAATGAAATTTAGCTTGCCTATAGCAGAACGATACAAAGTTTTGTTAGGAAATGGCTTATCTTCACCTGTAAAAGTGAAACCACACACCATGGGCGTTTCCTTCCCATTTGCATTTTCTAAACATAGCATTTCAACAAGATCATCAATTTTTGCAGTTTGATGAACCAGAAAAGATCCATTTTTGCCTTTTCAATTTGCATGGATAAGTAATTTTTAGCTATGCCTAATTCCACCACATCAAATTTCTTCTGTAACTGTGTTACTACCTGTTCATATTCCTGTTTAGTTTTTGTAGAAATTAACACGTCATCTACATAGACACATATTTTTGCTACAGAGTTTGCCCTTTCCTTTATAAACACACAATTGTCTGCCTTTCCCTGTGAAAACCAATATCCAGCAATTCTTTTGCTAAAGTTTGATGCCAATTCCTTCCACTTTGGTGCAGACCATAAAGGGATTTATTTAATTTGCATACCAGACCTTCAGCGGCGTCTATGCCTTCAGGGACACGCATAAAAATTTGTTCTTTTAAATCTGCAAACAAATATGCAGTTTTTATATCTAGGTGATAAACAGAATGTCCACGTTGTGATGCATCTTTTAACAAAAGCTTAACTGTTTCATATTTTACACTTGGTGAATAACACAAATCATAATCTTCGCCTGGAATTTGTTGAAAACCTCTAGCAACTAATCTTGCCTTGTACCTTACAACTTCGTTTTTGTCATTCATTTTAACTCTATAAACCCATTTTGAATCAATAAGTCTCATATCTGGGGTTTGTGGTACAAGAGACCAAGTGTTATGCTCTTTTAAAGAAGCTATTTCAGAGTTCATAGCTTTATACCAATTTACAGCTTGGTGCTTAGGTAAATTCTGAACATCATTGTAGCTTTTTTGGCTCAAAAACTGCCTTATTGGCATACACAGTATTAAAATGTTCATCTGCAAAACGTTGTGGCTTCTGTCTCTTTCTATCTGAACGTCTCAGTCCGGAAAGAGAGTCAGACTCCTCAGACTTAATGGGACTATGTAAACTACTAGTTTCAGGTTGTAAATCATCATTGTCAGACTGAAGAGATGCCTGTTGGCTAAGCTCACGGTCAGAAAACTCAAGAGAATCTAACCTCCCTCGGGTGCCTGTGACTTTAAATCATCAAAGAAATTATCAGATTCAACAGGCTTTTTGTCTTCTTCCATTAATTCAGAAGCACCATTTCCTGCTGCTGCTGCTGCTTCTTCTACCTCTTCTTCCTCAGTATTATCTATACCATTACTATCTTGAAAAACAGCAACACCATTCCAATTTACAGTTTGTATCATGCTTCTGGTAATATGAAATTTGCCAGTTGCTGGTATGTAAATTCTGTACGCCCCCCCTGCTGGTAGCCCATTAATTTTCCCTGGACACTACGTTCACCCAATTTCTGCTTAGCGGGATAATGCATTATTACATCTGAACCCCAAATGCGTAGGTATTTCAGATTAGGGCGTTTTTTAAACAGCTTCTCATAGGGGTGACATCTAATCCAGAATGATAACTGCGATTTCTAACATAACAAAAGGCATTGAGCGCTTCAGCCCAAAAGTCTTTGGGCAGATTAGCATCATGCAGATAAGTTTTAACCCCTGCCTGCAGGTCACGCTGCACAACTTCAACAAGCCCATTTTGCCAGGGACTTTGGGGGCAATTTAATCATGAGTAGTCCCCTGCGCTTCCAGGAATTTCTCAAAATCCTCAGAAACAAATTCCCCGCCCCTGTCAGAAAAAAGGTTCTTAATAGGTTTGTTAAAATGTGTTTTTACCCAGTTGCAAAAAACTTTGTACTTCTCAAATGCTTGGGACTTCTCAGCTATTGCATAAGTCCAACAATATCTACTATACTGGTCTATCAGGGTAAGCCAGTACTTAGAACCTCCTAAGGATGGTGGGAGTGGCCCAACTAAATCACAATGTACACGCTCAAATGGCTCAGTTACTTTCCTATCTGAGCACCTACCCTTGCGTGCAACCTTAATCTTATTCTTGCAACAGGATAGACATTGCATAAAGAATTTACATGGTTTTAAGTTGAGGCCATTAACAATATTCTTGGTCTTAATTACATCAGCAAAATTCAGATGTCCCAGAATTCTGTGCGCCTCATGGACACACCCAGAATGTGGCCTTACATTCCTCAACCCCTGGCTTGACTGTGCTGCTCTGCAATTTATAGGCGATTGGGAGTAGGTGCGAAAATACAGTCTATATAAACCATCAGATTCCCGGCATACAATAGACGTTTGTTCCCTCGAAACACTCACACATTGACTTTATGAAACGCACAGTTATGCCTTGACGAGCAAAACACCTTACTGACAATAAATTGTCCACTGATGGGCAGTAAATGCAGTTCGCTATAGTAATGTTTAAAGAGTCAAGTTTAACAGTACCCCGCCAAGCGACTGCAAGACTTGTGAATTGGCTAAATGTACATTACCAATTTCCTCTTCGAAAGAAATAAACAAGCTTCGATCGTTGCAAACGTGCTGAGATGCTCCTGAGTCCACAATAAAAGAATTCCACTTGGCACCTTTAATTCTTTTACGATCTCTTGTGCTAGCGTGAAAAGCTCGCGGCTCGTTTCTGTCTTTACGGTACGATGCCGGCTGCTGAGCTGACGACCGTGACTGTCGAACAGAAACAGTCTTGGGAGTTCTTTGCTTTCTTTTGGCTCGGCAGTCCTTTGCAAAATGTCCTTGCTTATTGCAGAACCAACAACGCTTTGCAGCTTTAAATGCAGTTGTATCACCACAAGTTTGCATATGGCGTTCCTCATTCTTTCTGGAAATAGGAGTGCTTATGGCACAAGCCTCCTTCTGTCCAACTCGCCCATTAATCTTGCCGTTACCCTTCCACAGTTAATTGTGCTGGTGGAACGGCAGATATCTGGCTAGCTATACCATCAAAGTCCTCATTAAGGGAACAAAGGATGATGAAAACATACTGAATATCAGGTATCTCCATGTCCCTTCGAATTAATTCGCCGCGTATTGCCTCCAGACGTCTCAAGTGTGCTGCCAAATCACCACCAGGCTGCAACTTCGTCTGGTACAACTGCTTGAAAACGTCAATGCAGACGCTGACTCTTTTCTAACATGCACTGCTGCAAGACTGTCCCACATTTCTTTGGCAGTTTTCTTATTTCTTATATAGACTACTTGCTGGTCGCTGACTGCCAAATTAATTATCGCCCTGGCTTCGCATCTCCTTTCGACCAAGCATTAGTCACAGGGTCAGGAGGGTCATCAGTTACATAGGTCCATACTTCTCTAGAGGTCAAAAGCGCCTCCACCCGAAAAGACCATAAACTATAGTTCTCATCTGTCAGCTGTGGGAAGACCAGAGCCTTCTCAGCTTCAGGAACCCGGTCAACCATTCTGGAACTCTTCCAGACCCACAGAACTACGCTAACAGGAGAAGGAGTTTTCAAACCTTTCTCAGAGTCCAAAATATGCAGTCATCCACTCAGCAGCTGGGCCCATAACCAAAGATGTTGACTTTTTGCAGTATGGTAGCGCTGCAGAGAGCTTGCTGGGGAGACCATGCATTAAAAAGGGACTCAAAAATAACTTAAACAAGGTTTTAATAAGAAAACAAAAACTCCTTTTACACTAAATACATTAACAAACAAACATGACCCAACCACCAACCCATCCCCCAGGGTAATGGGAGAGCTAGGTGCTGCTCCTTATATACTACACCCAATTGCCAACACAGCTTAATCAGTACAACTCGGCAGCACCTGCTATGTTTCACAGCTGTAAAGCTGGGTCTCGTTATTTTGCTCTGGCCCTTTCTCTGGCCCCTTAAAGACATACACATCGAGTGGAACAATGATGAACCTTTACATATTAAACCATTCCCCGTTAGGGGCGCCTTGGAAGATGGCCGACAATACCATCTCTCCGGCTCACACGAGGTAATTAAGAGGCTGACGATGGGAGTAAATTAGCCTCCCTGGATCTCCCCAGGGGATGGGGAGACGCTGCCTCGTCCGCAGTTGCCAATAAATCACCCCCGAGTTCAAAAGAAGGAGGGGGTGAGGGCACTGGATGGAAAGCCCTCGAGTGAGATTCTGGATCTCCTGCACACTACTTCTAAGTGCGACCTAGCTGCATTGCTTAAGATAAAATAATTGGATTAAGAAGTAAATGCACATGTTTCGAGCGAAGGAAGGGTGTTTTATCTGCTAATCAAATCTACCTCTGAGAAGTCAAGAGTGATGGGATGGATTGAACAGAAGACTACAGCAAAGAATCACAGCTATGTCGGTATGTTGAAACGGAACGGAAGGGAGAGGGGAAAAAACTTCCTTCTTTTTCAATATGTTTTACCTAACAACCCCTCCCCTAGAAGAACCGTCACATGATTGATTGATTGATTGATTGATAGCAAGTGAGATTGGAAAATAAACTGTGTGGAAACAAAAATATTAACTAAAGGCTTTGTTTTGTGGAAGATCTGGAAAGAGAAAGGCTTTCCAGCTACGCAGTTATTACTGGGATCCGCCATTATGAGACAGACTTTGTTGCGAGATTAACAGTTAAAGGGGGAGGTGAGCCACCGTTTTGCTTTCATGTGTGGATTATAGATTTGAATGGGCAAAAACTCCCCTGAAAAGACTGATTTATGGTGCAACTGATCTGGGAAAATTAAGGAGCAGACGGGTAGACTGTATTTCATCGGAATTGTCGAAAATGGCGCCGGCTGCTGGAACAGGACTTTTGGATCAGCGTGGATGAATTATGGGAGAGCATTACAAAGTTCACACAGAAACATAAATAATGTTTGATTCAACTTGCCTGTGGAAATACTCGGAGTTATTAAGAAGAAAAAGGATAACAACAAAGAGATGGGAAGATGGGACTTGTGAACATCAAAGCAGCAGAAATATGAGATGATTGGACCCTTTCTGAATTCAAAGCATGGGTACCCCCAACAAAAATTTAAAATTCGGCTAAATATTTGGAATTTATTGTGTACTGGTATAATTTGGAATTAATGTGATATGATTGGTTTGTTAATTGGAATTCCCCCCCCCCCAAAAAAATTATTGGTTTTTACAATATTATAAACAAGCAAACAAACACACAAGACAAACAAAAATAACAAACATAAATCATAGCCTTATTGAAAATTACAGTTATTAACTTTGTTAAATGACTTCCTCGCTTCCCCTTGGTTGAATTTCATTGCATGTCCTTGTAACGGTTTTCCAAATCCCAATCTTTTTGAAATTTAACTTAAACATTAACATCCTTAAATCTTCTCCTTATAGAGTTAAACATATTAATTTATCACTTAACATAAATAAAATCCTAAACCCATTAAGTATCTGCAAGCTATTTCCAGTTAGTTTAACTTAACAAATTTAACTAAATAATCATTAAATTTATTCCATTCTTCCTGATATTCCTCCTCCTTCTGGTCACGGACTCTTCCAGTTAGGTCGGCTAGCTCCGAAAAATCCACCATCTTCATCTGCCATTCTTCTACTGTTGGTAATTTTTGGGTTTTCCACTTTTTAGCTAACAAAATACGTGCAGCAGTTGTGGCATACAAAAATAATTTAACATCTTTCTTTGGCAATTCCAAGCCTGTTATTCCAAGAAGAAAGGCCTCTGGTTTCTTTAGAAATGTAGATTTCAACATTTTTTTCAATTCATTATAAATCTTTTCCCAGAAGTCTTTCACCTTGGGACAGGTCCACCACATATGATAAAATGTTCCTTCCTTTTTTTTACATTTCCAACATATATTGTCACAATTATGATATATCTTTGCTAATTTTACAGAAGTCAAATACCATCTATACATCATCTTCATTATATTTTCCTTTAACAAAGTACATGCGGTGAACTTGACCCCTTTCTTCCACAATCTTTCCCAGTCTTCAAACATTATATTATGTCCTACGTCTCTTGCCCAATCTATCATCACAGATTTAACTTGTTCATCTTTTGTATGCCACTCCAACAAAAGCTTGTACATTTTAGATAAATTTTTACTTTTAGTATCCAACAACTCCGTCTCCAACTTGGATTTTTCAAAAGCAAAACCATTTTTCTTATCCAATTTATACAATTCGTTAATCTGGTGGTAATGTAGCCAATTTAGCTTATCTTTAACTTGCTCAAATGGTTTTAATTTGTAACCTTCCTCTTCCTCTATTGATAAATCATAATATCTCAACCATTTGGTATCCATATTTAATTTTTTCTGGGCCTTTGCCTCCATTGGTGAGAGCCATCTGGGCATCTTTCTTTCTAAAAGATATTTGTATTTTATCCAAATATTATACAACAATTTCCTAATTACATGGTTTTTAAATGCTTTATGGGCTTTTACCTTGTCATACCATAAATATGCATGCCAACCAAACTCGTTATCAAATCCCTCCAAATCTAATAAATCTGTATCTTCTAATTGCATCCATTCTTTAATCCAACAAAGTGCAGCAGCTTCAAAACAGATTTTTAAATCTGGCAGGAGAACCTCCTCTTTCTTTAGAATCCGTAAGTAATTTATATTTAATTCTGGGTTTCCTCCCCTGCCAGATAAATCTAGAGAGTGCTTTATGCCATTCTTTAAAGCATTTCACATTATCTATAATTGGGAGGGCTTGAAACAGGAAGAGCATCTTTGTTAATTGGAAATTTAATAATTTTTTTTTTTTTTAAAGGTACATGGAACCAGGCAGAGGGCCTTCTCAGTAGTGGCGCCCGCCCTGTGGAATGCCCTCCCACCAGATGTCAAAGAGAAAAATAACTACCAAGCTTTCAGAAGACATCTAAAGGCAGCCCTGTTTAGGGAAGCTTTTAATGTTTAATAGGTTATTGTATTTTAGTGTTTTGTTGGAAGCCGCCCAGAGTGGCTGGGGGGACCCAGCCAGATGGGCGGGGATATAAATAAATTAATAATAATAATAATAATAATAATAATAATAATAATATCCAGGATAAGGATGGCAAACAGAGACTCAGGCATATTAAAACCTCTTTGAGGCAATTCCTGTCTGAGATGCTGCAAATGCAAGACATGGGCTCTAAGGTCTTCCCCTGGCTCCAAACACTTCCTGTGCAGCTTTCTGAAGTAAAACAACACAGACCCAGCCTCTTGTCGGAGATGACAGGCCTGAAGCCCTTCCCACATCTCACGGGAGCTGGTCTTGCCAGCCAGGGTAATTAACTCTTCTGGGGCTACTGAGAGCAAAATTATTCCCATGGCTCTTGAAACTTATGCATCCGTCAGAGGCGCTGGGGGGTCCTCAGAAATAGTATTCCACACACCAAGCCTTCTCATCTGGCCCTTGCAGTACCTTGCCCAGGTCTGATAATTGTGGCCATTAAGCTTTGGGCATGGAACCCCATCTGAGGCTTGTAAAAGATCCATTCCAGCTCTTTATTCAAGCCAGGAAACAGTAGGCAGGTCGTAAATTAAGAGGCCTGCTTCTCTCTGGCCTAATTACTTGGCTCGGACTTCTCCCATGGAACAGCATCAGTCAGCCAGCGACACAAGCCTCAGATATGTTTAGAGACTCGTGCACGCTCTGTCAGCAGAGTGTGTAAATCTCCAGAATGGAAGAGGCGAACAGAGAGAGATGTGCAAGCATATTTACAGCATTTATTCAGCATAGTTCAGGAACAAAGGAAAACATGACTGCTTGCCTTCGTGTCCAGCAAAACAGCCGCATAGCAAAAGCAACATACAACGGAAGTTCCCAGCAGACTGTGCTGGGAGTAAACAGGCATGTGATACACAA